TAAGATCATGGCTGATCTTTTCGTGGACTCAGATCCACTTACCCGCGTTCTCACCATATCCCTTAATTCCCTTATTTTTCAAAAAAATATCTACCTTATCTTTAAAAACGTTTACTGAAGTAGTGTCAACTACTTCACTGGGCAAGGAATTCCATAGATTAACAACCCTCTGGGTGAAGAAGTTCCTTCTCAATTCAGTCCTAAATCTGCTCCCTCTAATCTTGAGCCTATGCCCTCTTGTCCTAGCTTCACCTGCCAGTGGAAACATCCTCTCTATTTCTATCTTATCTATTCCCTTCATAATTTTATATGTTTCTATAAGATCCCCCCTCAATCTTCTGAATTCCAATGAATATAATCCCAATCTACTCAGTCTCTCCTCATAAGCCAAACCCCTCAACTCCAGAATCAACCTAGTGAACCTCCTTTGCACCCCCTCCAGTGCCAGTACATCCTTTCTCAAGTACGGAGACCAAAACTGCACACAGTACTCCAGGTGTGGCCTCACCAGCACCTTGTACAGCTGCAACATAACCTCTCTGCTTTTAATTTCAATCCCTTTAGCAATGAAGGACAAAATTCCATTTGCCTTCCTAATTACTTGTTGTACCTGCAGACCTACCTTCTGTGATTCATGCACAAGGACACCCAGGTCCCTCTGCATAGCAGCATGCTGTAACTTTTTACCATATGATGGGATAGCGCAAAGGAAGTTTTACTGCGTTTCTAAATTGTCCTGTGCGCGAATGGAATGTTCAATGGGACACTGTTGAAGAACATTTACTCTGTATGCCATATTTGCCCTGTGTTTGTTTGATTGGTTGGCATAGATAATGCATTTCTGTTGGCTTATGCAAAAGATCTTATTCATTTGGAGTCTGAAATAATGTGACACTTTTGACCGAGAAAGGAATTTATGACGTTAAATATGCTCACACGCAAACAACTCACAAGGTGTAACTCATTTGCTGGGGTGTTCAGGTCTGCTTTAGAATCCTGATTGAATTGGGTAGTCACAAAGCTATCTTTTATTTTGAACTCAATACATTCTCAAACTCTACAATGAGATAAATATGATTGCCCCGAACCATTTTCGGGAAATCTCATGATCGTATCAGTTCAATGCACGATGATCTTATGAAATTGCAAAATTGGAAAAACCAATGAGAAATGACACATAATGCTCTTTCACATGCATTAGCAACAAAAATTATCTACCAGCAGATAGCTTTGAATCCTGTAATCAAATTCTCCAACAAGTAGATGCACAGTTACCTGAGGGTCATCTTCAAAACAGTCTTCAATGGAGATTCCTCATTCAGCAAATAATGTGGAAAGCATACAAGATTCTCAGATTTCTGAGGAGGAATCTTTGGTATTGCAACAAAAATATCAGTGATATAGTTTCCTAAAAAATCAATTCTCCAATCCAGGTTGTGGAGGACCCTTGCGTGGTGATATTTATAAATAAGACTGAAGTGATTCAAAGATGTGCTGCACAAATTAGTGAAGGAAATAAACCATTGTCAGATTCTTGAATGGGAATCACTGCAGTAAAGGAGAGAGAAAATGGACTGACCATCTTCTATAAAAGATGGATTGTACTGGTGAGAATTGTCAGAAACAAGTTCTCGGTGACCGCCAGCAATGGCAGACATTAGGTTGCCATCCACTCAAACCGCAAATGCCATTTATTTTCAAGCCAGTGTATCAATAACCTTACCTCGGAAGTGCAATTGACAATGGACCGATCTGCAGAGCGAAATAGTCATGTCCCATTGATTGAAATTGTCAAAGCCTCGCTTCTAGATTCTAGCCATTTATAAGATTTTTGTTATAAGGACCACTATATAAATAGGTTGAGCCTGGTCTAATGAGTGCTGTCAGTATAAATGTTGGCAGAATACAGGTGTCAGTCTGTGTCGCTGCTGTAACTGAAGGAGAAACTGAAGCAGAAATATCCTGCTAACTTTACGCACATCATTAATCTTTTTTTCCGTCTGCCCCTGGTGAGTTTAGAATGGCTTGGCAAGAGCAAGTTCTGAGGGAATCCTGAAGCTTCCAGTTCACAATGTCTCAAGCAGCATTATTCTGTTGTTGGGGAGCCCCAAGGTGGATTAGTGCAGAGAAATACTTAGATCCAGGCCATGTCAAACCTTGAGCTCAACCATGTATCTTAATCACTAGAGAAAACAAACCAGCTTCTTTAAAGTACAATTAGTCGAACTGGATGAATACTTTGGGGGAATTCCATTGCTTCAAGCACAATTTGAAGCAAGGATTCTTTTTTGATAGATTTAATACAATTTCAAAAGAACTCAAAGACCACATTTGTTTCAGGTAGCCATTAGATTTAGAGCTTTGTTGGTGTGGTATGATTAAGCAAATGCTACAATGAGACATATACGATTGTTCAGGAAAGAAATTTTTTTTGAAAAGCTCTGCTCTGCCACTGGGCCTCAGGATGGACAGCAACATTCCACCTAAATGTAGTGGTTGTATGTTTAAAACAGTCATCCTAAAACTCAGAATAATAGTCTGTAAAGTGCGAGTTTAAATGGGAAAGGTGATGACCTCATGATGTTGTTGTCCTTGTAATTCAGAGAACCAGGTAATGGAGAACCAGGTAAAAAAACAAATAAAAATGAAATTAAAAGATGTGAAGATGATGAAACTATTGTCAATTGTTGTAAAAATCCATCTGGTTCACTAATGTCCTTTAGGGAAGGAAATCTGCCATCCTTACCTGGTCTGACCTACATGTGACTCCAGACCCACAGCTATGCTGTTGGCTCTTAACTAACCTCTGAAAATGGCCTAGCAAGTGGGGAGGAAATGGTCTAGTGGTTCCATTGCTGCACTGTTAATCCAGAGACCCAGCTAATGTTCTGGGGATCCAGGTTTGGATCCTGCCATGGCACCTGGTGGAAATTCAATTCAATAAAAATCTGGAATTAAGAGTCTAATGGTGAAGATGAATCCATTGTTGATTGCCAGGAAAAAAAAATCTAGTTCACCAATATCCTTTAGGGAAGGAAACTGCCATCCTTACTTGGTCTGGCCTATATGTGACTCCAGATCCACAGCAATGTGATTGACTCTTAACTGCCCTCTGGGCAATTAGAGAAAGGCAATAAATTCTGTCTGGCATCTGATGCCCATATCCCATGAATGAATAAAACAAAAATCATTCACTTTTATCAAATGCTAGAAAGGAAGAACAAAGAATGAAACTGGATTGACCACTTGGAATTCCGTCCCTACAGGTATTGTGAGTCTATACATAACAAGGGGACTGCAGTGGTTCGAGAAGACAACTCAATAGATCTCAAGTGCAACTAGGGATAGGCAATAAACAGCCAGCAATGCCCACATACCATGAATTGAAAAGGAAATACTAAGATGGCTGTTCCACAATTTGAATTCAACTACTGAACTTTCAAAACCCTAATTAGTCAACAAATGTCCTTTAGAAAATTAACGTCATGATTCTTACCAACACTGATCCTTTTGTGACTCGAGTACAACCAATATAATTGACATTTAACTAGCTTGGGAAGCAATTTAATTGGAACCAGCTCTCTCCTGATAACTAAGGGTAAGAGACAATAAAATGCAACCATCTTGCCATAATCTACATCTCAAGAAACGACCAGGAAGAAAACAGATAGCCAAATAAAATTCCACAGGGAAGAAACTTAGATGAAAACTTCAGGCTCTTTTTTGTTGAATGCAATGAAAACACTGACTGAAATAATTTATTTCGACTCTGCTGAGTTATTTTGTGAGTTAACCTTTTTTCTCTGTTGACATTATTTTGATTTCAATGAAGAATCAATTTATTTACAGTTGTTCTTACCTAAAGTTTAGGCTAATTTCAAGAAACAAAACCTACAATATTCTGAAGGTCAAACAATAAATGCCATCCAAATCCTGAATAAAGTTCAAAGAGTGGAACATACAAGGGTCAGTGTTATTTTAATTGGACGAAAAGAGGTAATATTGGGTATGACTTAAATCAGCAGAGCAAGTACTTCGTAATTTAAAAAGGAAACAAGTAATAGAACATAGTCTTACTAAATGGTCCAACTGAGCAAGGATAAACTTGAAATAAAACAAGCTAAGAACTAATTAAAATCAATTACATGATGATATCTTGTTGACTATACAAGTTTTGAATGGCCTCATAGCTAAGAATGAACAACAAATAGACCTCTCTAGGACAATCTGGCATAAAGAAATATAATTATGGATGGGGTGGAAGTAGGAAGAGGGATTCTCATTATGAACCCCACACATCCTGGAGTCTGTGTAGCTCAGGAGCGGAATAACAAGTAAGTCCCTGTCCTTCCTCTCCTCTTCACAAGCCTCTCCTGAGAAGAAAGAATTTGAAATTGTTTGTTCATATGTTCAGGACATCCTAAAGTGCTTCATGGTGAAGGACTGTTGTGATGTGGGGGAAACGCCAGCCAATTTGTATACTGCAACACCCCACAATAGAAATGAGACAAATGACCAGATATTATGATGTCTTCGTAGGACAGACTAAAACAGTGTACAGTATATTGAGAATCAACCTGAACTAAGCCAGATAGAGATACAAATATCTATGTTTGTATGACGTACAGATCTATATCTATATGGCATACAAATTGCCACAAGAGTGCGTTTTCACAAATTTTAACCTTAATAATGTCACTTAAGGGACAGGTGATGTTCACGATATTGGGGAGAATTCCTCTACTTCTCTTCAAACAGTCTCATGGTGTTGTTTTTGTCTACCTGAGCAGAGCAAAAAGAGCCTTGATTTATGGTCTCATCTGAAAGTGAGGACCTCTTTCAGATGCTGCACTTTCTTAGTACACTGAATCTTTACTAAGCAGTTAGCAAAGGAGACAATGCAGGCCTCCTTTTGAGATAAACTACATTAGAAGAAAAATTGCGCGTGCTGTACCAGTCCTTTACCATGGAGATTGCAACATAATCATTTTCTTTTACAGATATACATTATTGGGCTGATCGCTGACAGAAAATTCCAGCACTTCAATGCTGTTCTTGAAGCCTACATTAAACAACACTTCAGTGCCACCTTGGCTTATAAGTAAGTTCCACTGTTGTAGCTTGAAGTACTATAGCTTTGCTTTTAATTGGGTCATCCTTCACTGTTGCAGGAGAAAAATGTGACAATTTGCAGCCTACAGTTAGACGAACAAAATGTTAAAATAGTGTTGAGCATCTCCCTTCAGTTAGGTGAGCACTGTTAATAAAAGTAAACTGTATGGGGTGGATATTTACGACTGCTATTAAAATAGCGGCGAGAATGAGTACATAACATCCTCCTGTTTGAGTGTAAATGGAGAGGAACATTTTATGCATCAGAAGCAGGCCAATGATTATCACGTGAAAACAGGAAATGTAAATCTGTGGCAGTATGTAAGGTGTGGCAGGGCTCACCTAGCCAAAACCCCACCTTCTGCCTCCCAAAGAGTTACCAGGGATCGAGCCTATGCACACTGGCGGCCCTGCCCAGGGAATCTTTATTGGCCAAAGGCGAGATTTCCACTTTGTACCTCGCTCCCAGCGACTGGCCAGACAATTGGATTGGGAGCAGTGGCCACATACTGGCACCATATTCTAAGTTCTGGAGCCAGAATGGAGGGGAGTATGTGCGACCTCACTTTTGGGATGGGAACGGAGGCCCAGGGTTGGAGGAGAGAGGAGGATGGATAGGTAAATGGTGGAGAGAGAACTGGGTGGGGAAGAGCAGAGGAAAGGAGACTTTGAGAGGGCTGGTGCCCAATTGGGAAATAGAGTGAATGAAACAATGTTCCAGATGCGAAGAGCAGTATCCCAAGTATTGCTGGGAGCAAATTTAAATGCTTATACTGAGAAGGCTAGAGTTCCTTCCCCTTATTATTAACTCTTAACATTTTGAGGTCCGAGTCAGTTATTGATGGTGAATATAAGCACAAAGCCAGATTCACTTCTCCATCCTGAATACTGTCACATGGCACCAGTGACCACAGTTCCCACTAATACACGTAAAAACATGCAAAGATACTAGGGGGTCATTCAGCCATGGAACATTGGAAAAGGCCATCCAGCTCCATGAGCCTGTTCTGCAATTTAATGAGATCCTGGCTAAACTGGAGCCTAACTCTATATAACTGCCTTCTGCCCATAGCCTTTAATATCTTTGCTTAACAAAAACTTATCTATCTCTGATTTAAAACTAACAACAGATCGAGCAGGCCCTTGACTCTTCTCCACCATTCAGTAAGATCACGACTGATTTGATTGTAGCCTCTACTTTTCCCCTGTAACCTCTGCGACTTCCTTGACAGTCAAAAAAATAGATTTTTCACTTAAAAACTACTAGCACAAGGAGCGTTACGGAATGAGAGTGAGACTGGTCTGATGCAACGGAAGCCACATTTTGCTCAGAGTCTCACCATGCTGTGGATGAGGATTGAATGCAATTGAAACAAAGGAAATTAATGTTGAGAAAGATTTGAAAGATAGCAAGGAATGACAGAAGGTCACATGAACGAATGAGCAAGGAATAACAGGTAGGCCACTTGATCCTTTAAGCCTGCTCTGCCATTCAATAAGGTCATGATGATCAGATTTTAATCTCAACTCTACATTCCTGCGTACATACCCCCGATAATATTTCATCCCCTTGGTCTTCCAGAATCTATTCATCCCTGCCTTAAAAAACACCTAAATATTCTGCGCTTACTGCCTTTTGAGTAAGGGAATTCAAAAATAATCACAACAGAATGTTATTTCTCCCATCTTGAGGGGGAGGCGATGGCCTAGTGGTATTATTGCTGTACTGTTAATCCAGAGACCCAGATATTATTGGTGTACTGTTATTCCAGAGACCCAGCTCATATTCTGAGATCTGAGTTCGAATCCCACCATGGCAGACGGTGGAATTTGAATTCAATAGATACCTGAAATTAAGAATCTAATGATGACCATGAATCCATCGTCGATTGTTGGAAAAACCCATAAGGTTCACTAATGTCCTTTAGGGAAGGAAACTGCCATCCTTACCTGGTCTGGCCTACATGTGACTCCAGACCCACAGCAATGTGGTTGACTCTGAACTGCCTCTGGGCAATTAGGGATGGGCAATAAATGCTGCCTGGCCAGTGATGCCCTCATCCCATGAATGAATAAAGGATCACTGTTTTACATGGACAACTACTAATTTTTAAACTGTGACCCCTCGTTCAGCACTCGCCCACAACAGGAAACATCAGAGCAAATTTTCTAAAAGCCAGGCAGTCATCTTGTGACTGTAAGTATGAGTTGCACATGGAATTCCTGTCATAGCACATTCCAAAGGAATTACTTGGGAAGTTGACTTTTCCACTGCTCAATTTCTTTACGTCTTGAACTTTCTGAAAGTCTCTGTTTAAATCAGAGACTTTGGACCATTCCCATGAAATTAAGTAAAATAGTTACTGAGGAAAAGTTAGACTATTGAATACAGAGTCTAACTGCCAAGAAACTATTAAACACACCTCATGGTTAACACATACAATCCCCAGACCCTGTCCCAATCTGAGCTGACCCGAACTCCCAGACCTGGCACCTATCCTCCCCACCCAACACCAGACCCAGTTTCTCCAGCCCACCCTAACCTATCTTAAACACTAACCTGCTTCCGTGCATCCTTGCACCCTGGCACCTTACCCACAACCAGTTGGCACCCTACTCAATTGGCACTCTACCATCTCCCCAGTAGAACCATACATAGGTGGCACCCTACTCCTTCTCCACTTGGCACCAAACCCAGTTGACACCCGACCTCGACCCATCCGCCATCCTATCACCTGGCAACGTAGCCCTCCCCAGCTAGCACGCTACATATTTGGCACTCTGGCCCTCTACCCACTTGGCACTCTACTTATCTGCTCGCTGTCGTCCAAAGTGTCTGGCATCTTACCTCCCAGAGCCCTACCATCAGGATTACCTTGTGTCGTTATACTTTGGCAGCAGCTGTCGCAGTAACTATCAGAACCATTTGAGGGTCAGAGTACAGCACTGCCTGCTGTGAAAAGAGCACATGGCTTGCCTTCCCCTGACTGCTCTGTGCTATGAAAGAGCTATCAGAATGGACGCACGGCTTCACATTTCCTGAAGGAGCTCTGAACACAGTCTCTTCTCAGAAATGCAGAGCTCCCTTCTTTTGTTAATAAGAAGGGCAGGAGAAGCAATCTGCATGGGATTGTAACTCACCAGAAAATCTGGGGCCATCCTTTTCATGTCCATTCCATCAGGTCTCGTCAGGATTTTATATGTTTCAATCAAGTCACCTCTGGCCCTTCTAAACTCCAAAGATACAGGCCCGGCCTGTCCAGTCTTTTCTCTTAAGGCAACCTACTCATTCCAGGCATTAGTCTAATAAACATTTTCTGAATTGCTTCTAACGCATTAATGTCCTTCTATAAGTACGGTAACCAGTGCTGTGCGCAGTACTCCGGATGTGATATCACCAATGCCCTGTATAACTGAAGCATAACCAACCTACTCCTACATTCAATTCCCCTTGCATTAAACCATAGAATTCTATTAGCTTTCCTGATTACTTGCTATACCTGCATACTGACCAGCAATTCATGCATGAGGACGTCCAGATTACTTAACATCTGAGTTCTGCCACCTCTCTTCATTTAGATAATATGCTTCTTTCAATATATTCTTTTTGCCAAAATGGACAATTTCACACATTATACTCCATTTGCCAGATCTTTGCCCCCTCACCTAACCTATCTATATCCCTATGTAGGCTCCTTATGTTCTCTTCAAATCTCACTGTCCTAACCATTTTTGTGTTGTCATCAGATTTAGCTACCATCTCTTCAATCCCTTCATCTAAATCATTTATACAAACTGTAAAAGACTTCAGGCTACTGCACCAGTGCCTGTGGCATACCACTTGTCACAGCTTGTCAGCCTGAAAAAAGACTCACTTATTGCTGATTTCTGTTAGCCAGCCAATTGACTATTCATGCCAATGTGTTAGCCTCTACCTTTTTATTTTCTACAATAACCTTTGATCTAGCACTTTATCAAATGTCTTCTGGAAATCTATTTATAATATAGCCACTGTTTTCACACACTCCACAGCACAAGTCACTTCCTCAAAGAACTCCAATAAGTTACTTAAACATAACTTCCTTTTGGCAAGAGCTTGCTGACTCTGCCTGATTTCCTTGAACTTAGCCAAGTGCCCTGTTATAATGTCTTTTATAACTTGTAGCGTTTTCTCTATGATAGCATGACGACACAGTGGCTCAGCAGTTAGCCCTGCTGCCTCACAGCGCCAGGGAACTGAGTTCAATTCAACCCTTGGGCAACTGTGTGTGGAGTTTGCACATTCTCCCTGTGTCTGTGTGGGTTTCCTCTGGGTGCTCCAATTTCCTCCCACCGTCCAAAGATGTGCAGGTTTAGGTGGATTGATCATGGGAAATTGCCCATTGCGTTCAGGGATGTGCAGACTAAGTGGATTGGCCATGGGAAATGCTGGGTTGCAGGAATAGGCTTGAGGAGTGTTTCTGGATGGGATGCTCTTCGGAGGGTTGGTGTGGACTCAATGGACTGAATGCCCTGCTTCTACACTGTCAGGATTCTATGACAGAAGGAAGTCAGTTGTATACATGCAAATGGATGGGGGATTGGGGAGTATGTTTTAGGGTGATGAGAAAGATTAAATAACAGAGAGTGTGTGGTGACAGGGGAGCACAGTACCAGACTGAGTTGATGCCAACTCACAATTTGGCGATGTTGAATGTGGAATTTATTTGATCTCTTCAGTGCTTCACTACTTACTTTATATCCCCTCAATATAAAGGAAGGATGCTGGATGTTCTGACGCTTAAGGCTTTTAATTTCATGTGTTGAGGCTGATCTTGAATGCTTAGCATTGAGGCTTTATTCTGAAATTGTTGGTGTTTTGTTTGTGTTCTCACTAAGTTTGGGAAGTATGCTTACCCTGGATAAACCATTTGTCTGAAAAAAAAGTTTCTGCAGAATTTTGTTGGAAAAGCTTCTATTGTCTTTTGCACAGCATGATTCCAAACAATTCCTTTATCTGGAACTTGCTTTTTTATTATGTGTGATGTTACCTTTGTCAAGTTAATTATTACCTTACTGATCTATGTATATTGCATCATATCAGGAGTTCGGGGTCCCTGTTGAATTCTCTGTTGAATTCAGAGGAATCATTCATCTTGTAAGGAAACTAACTGGTTAACTTTAATCATTCTGGATTCCCATTTGTATGATAGTAGCAGAAGGAACGTAATGGCTAAACTCATTTATGATCTGGACCATGTTGACCTTCATTCTGTCAGCAGACCAAGTTAACAAGAGATAAAGGAAGTTTTGTTTGAATCAAAAATTATTTTATCCCACAGTTAAAGCCCATTGTGTACAGCAAGAGAAATGATCAATGACTGACTTCAGATTTTCGCTCATGAATTGGGCAGCTTCAGTCAGGAAATTTCCACTTGTCACCCATTCCTTTGGAAAATGTACCACAAATATTGGACCTCTGTTCTGATTAGGCTACTGTGGAAAGGAATTGGGTTTGTTACCCTTTCTGATGCTGATTGGAGCTGGCCACAAGGATGCTGATTGCTGAGGCAGTGTGTTTATAGGGGACCTTATTACAGTTGCCTTCTTAAATATTTGGCCCTACAGCCCTTAGACCTCATATTGTCTGTCCTTCTATTCATTGCCCATGAACCTTTTTTACCAATCCATGCTAACCCGTACTCTTGCCCACCACCAATGATTCCTGAATGCATTTATGCCGAACTTTGCCCGCACCCTTTGTCATTACACTCTCCCATTATAAACTCACCCATTATATGGGCAGACTACAGGAGTTACACAGATATGAAACAGGATTAAATTTAAAATATCAATTACAGATCACTTTATATAAAAAAAGTCATTCATGAATGCCATTTGAATCCCTTAATTTTGTTCCAATTGCATAATAATGGCTGCTAGTCTTTTTGTTGTCCTTCTTTTTACTTTAAATTAAACTGTGAATGTACAAAATCACCCTCACTATGATAATAATAGGTTACGGAAAGCATTCAAGCATTAATAACGTCATAAATACATCATTTATGGTTAGGTCAAGAAACAACAATTGAAATTGCTACAACAAGCAATTTTTTTCAACTTTAAAAGGTGAAATGAAACAGTTCTTTTTCACATTTTAGAGGACTGTCCATTCAAATAACTTGGTGGCCTGGCCATCCATTACACCTCATCCATCCTTCAAAAGTATTTAAAACTTCAGTTAAGAACTGTAACTCCCACACTACACAATTAGGCCCTTGCTGCAGTAAAAGCGGGGTCTGTTTAAATTTAGCACAGAGTTCAAATGGCCCTGCTGAGTTCAGGCTTCCCACATGTGGAAGTCATATCCATGCCCTGATAACCACCAACAACCACCAATGTCTCTATAACTCCATTTAAAAAATCAAGGCTCTTTGTTAAATCAGTGCGACTCACATTGATATAATGATACAAAATAAATAATATGCCGCACTGCCTTAATCAGTGTCACTTCTTACATTATTTTCATTTCCATCTTAACTTAGAAAATAGGAACAGGAGTAGGCCATTCAGCCCTTCGAGCCTGCACCACCATTCAATATGATCAAGGCTGATCATGCAATTTCAGTACCCCATTCTCGTTTTCTCCCCATACCCTTGATTCCATTAGCTTCGAGGGCCATGTCCAGCTCCTTCCTGAATGTATCGTACAAACTGGCCCCAACATCTTTCTGCGGGAGAGAATTCCACAGGTTCACAGGTTCTCTGAGTGAAGAAATTCTTCCTCATCTCAGTCCTGAATGGCTTACCCTTTTATTCTTCGACTGTGATCCCTAGTTCTGGGCTTCCCCAACATTGGGAACATTCTCTCCACATCTAGCCTGTCTAGTCCTATCAGGGTTTTATATGTTTCTATGAGATCCCCCCTCATTCTTCTAAATTCCAGTGAGTACAAGACTAGTCAATCCAGTCTTTATTTGTCAGCCCTGCCATCCCAGGAATCAGTCTGGTGAACATTCACTGGACTCCCTCAACAGCAAGAATGTCCTTCCTCAGACTAGGAGACCAAAGCTGCACACAATATTCAAGCTGTGGCCTCACCAAGGTCCTGTATAACTGCAGCAAGCCATCCCTACTCCTATACTCAAATCCTCTCGCTGTGACGGCCAGCACGCCATTAGCTTTCCTCACTGCCTGCTGCATCTGCATGCCAACCTTCAGCAACTGTTCCACAATTGACACCCAGGTCTCTTTGCACCTCACCTTTTCCTAATTTTGTCTTATCGTCTGCAGTAGATTACCCCTCAGTCTTTTATCATTTTCCACCTACTTTTAAAGTTCACTTCACTGTTCAGGTTGATCCATAAATTCTTTTGGCATCTGCTTTTCAATTTGTTGTACTCTCACAGTCAAACAGAACTGAAAGGGGGGCTCCAGTATCTTGTTAAGGGTAATCTTTTTAAATAACTGGCCTATCTAATATTGTTTGTTCGCAGGAGAAGTAACTCCCTAGGAAAGGGACTGATCACTTCACGGCTGAGAGCCTCCTTTTTTTTAACAACCTGCAGGAATATTGATTCGCTTTAAAAAATCTCTGTGTATGAGAGGCAACTCTTTAGCCAAAACTGCTTTGAAGAAACAGGGTCAAAAAATAGCTTGGAAAGTTGTTCACAGATCCATTACGTTAGAAGAACAGGTTAATAGGATCATTAAGAAGGCACACAGGGCACTTGCCTTTATCAATCGTGACATAGATTAGAAGAGCATGGATGTTAAAATGGAGCTGTACCAAACTTTGATTAAACCACAACTAGAGCACAGTGTGCAGTTTTGGTCACTGCACTGTAGGATGTGATTACACTGCAGATACACCAGGATGTTGCCTGGAATGGAACATTTTAGCTATGAAGGGAGCCTGGATAGGCTTGAGTCATTTTCTTTAAAGCAGGGAAGAACTGTGACGGGAGCTGATTGAGGTGTATAACGTTATGAGAGACATGGACAAGGGGGATAGGAAGCAGCTGTTCCCTTGGTTGCAGGGTCACTAACAAGGATGGAATAATTGTAAGGTGAAGAGCAGGAGGTTTAGAGGGGATTTGAGGAAAAACCTTTTCCCCTGGAGACTGGTGCAAGTCTGAAATGCACTGCCTGGGAGGGTAGTTGAGACAGGAGGCCTCGTAACATTGAAAAATTATTTGGATAAGCACTTGAAGTGGCATAACAGTGAAGGCTATGGGCCAAGTGTGGGAATGTGGGATTAGTGTAGATAGGTTGGTGCAGACTTAATGGACCAAAGGGCTTCTTCTGTGCTATATAGCTCTGAAAGTGATATGGCTCGATGGCAAATATTATGGAGGTGTCACAAGGTAACTGGAAAGTTCTATTCATTCTACATAATATAGGCAGACCCCAACTACAATTCTTTTAAAGCTGATTCCAGCATTCTTACTGATTCAGAATTACATCCTGTTCTCCTTTGGGTTAGAATTTCTTGTTATCAGTTTGACATTAGCGTTTTGCTAATTGAACTGTACCATCTGTTCTCTGATCACTGTTTAATCCGTTTTAGATCAACTCCTTTATGAATAATACATTATTTAATTAACAAAACTATGCTTACCCATTAACTTTAAGGATTTGAAAACCCAAGTGTTTGCCATCTTTCAAAGTGCAGGCTTGTTGTTCATCTCTATAGAAATTTGAAGACTTGTGAAGCTTCCTTGTGTCTGACTTCCCAGAACTGATGATTGCTCAAGGAGTAGCGAAGCCTATAACTATGCAGTTGCAGTGAGACTTCCTAAAAACTTACACCATGTTATACTGACATCCAACTATGACTTATCAATGACAAGCAAGCCTCCCAGTTGTAAAACTGGTTCTGAGTCCCAGCCCAGAGACCTGAGTACACCATCCAATCTCACACTGCAGGGATCTCACTGTCCTACTATAGGTTCTGATTTTTGGATGTTGTGATAATGTAAGACCTTCAAAGGAAGCCTTCTGGAGCCATTTCAAAGAAGAGTGGGTTTCTTTCCTTCCCAGTGTTCTCTAAATTTAAATCTTTGATCGTTACCAAAATGGTCTGGTTGTTAGCACCTTGCTATAAGTGAGAATCTGCTGCGTGCAAATTGGTTTCCTATGTTGTAGCAGTGAAACTGATTTATAAGTATGTTGTTGGCTGCAAAGAGCTTTGGGTTTCCAGATGGTCATAAAAAGTACTATGTTAATGCAAATCTTTCTGTATTTAAATCAGCATTTTACTGCTTCCTTTGATGTTGCTTTTTTCAGTTGCTGGACATGTGTTGAATTTTTGTAACTCTCTTAAATCTCCTTCAGTACCACTTTAGTTATTTCGAAATGAAATATTGCAGTTTCTTTTAAAAAAGCCACAAAATAACATGTTTATCAATCAAATTATCCATCAGTGTACATTTTTAAAAAAATCTGTCATTTGTCTTCATTTTCTCCATCAAATCTTATTCCAGGAAACTGATGACTGTGCTGAAAAACTATCTAGACATTTGTTGTGAAGGCAAGCAATGTGAACCAATTTTACGGACTTTGAAAGCCCTGGAGTATATCTTTAAATTCATTGTGAGATCTCGATCGTTATTTGCACAGTAAGTTCCAGATATTGATTTGCTTCCTCACTAATTGATCATTTTATCTCTTCATTACCGTTATTGGAAAAATAATGTCTAAAAGAGTGTATATTTTAAAAGGCATTCGTACTTTAATTTTAAAGGAAGAAGTGGAGTTTTGTAAAAGATTCATGAAGTTTAGAATTTAGTAAACACTTGCTTTATCAATTTGCCAAGACTATTGGTTGATCACCTACAGACTTGAAGAATTTGGATTGTGATATTCATACAGAGTTTCCAGCAATTCCCAGTGAATGCTGATGCCAAAGACAATAATAGTAAGAAGGGAGAGTATACTTATCCCCAGTAATGGATAATAAAGCTCATTTAAATAATGGATAATTATGTAGATGGAAGTGCTTCTTTCGTCCTCTCTACCTGAGGTAGCACTGATGTATTATAACAAAGAGCCAATTAGGCAAATGATTATACAGGGTACATAAAAGGAAATTTAACAAACTGTCTTTCCTTACACTGTAAAAGCTTCTCCTAGCTTATTCAGAGGCTCGTTCATAATGGCGATGGGTACATTTACTGTCCTTGACAGATATTTTTTCCAGCTTCCAGAGAGTCAGCTTCACTCATGTGGCTAAACTGCTGCTTCTGAGTCAGAAAGTCCTGAGTTCAAGACCTGTAACATGTCATCGAGGAATGACACTTCATTTCAGTACTGACAGAGCAGGGTAGTATCAGACATGCTGTCTTTCATCTGGCAACTATACTCACCATTTAAAGAGACAATTCTGCAGAGTGATTCATTAGTCATGAAAGTAGACTAGGATGTTTCTGAGAGCTCATATGAACGTGAACAATTTGTTAATGAAACTGATTTTAAAAAAAGAGAGTATTAACACAGCTATGATAATTATCACCAGGAGATCAATGTGACTGTGTTGTTGTCTCCCCAAATCCATGCTTCTTTTTCTTGAGTTTCGCGATTGAATTCCTCCAAATAGGAGCATGCCCCAACCCCTCATCAAAGTCACAGATGACATTTTTGTGTGACTGTGGTGAAGTATTCTTCTTTCTCCTTATCAATCTTTCAGCAGCCTTCTGTGGTGTTTGATTATGCTTGTCTGATCATAAATCCTTGCCCAGTGACTGAATGCTTCAGCTTGTGGGCGAAGATAATGAGTCAAGTGACTGATTCCTGACTCTTAGAGAGACAACTCTGGGGACAGATTGCACATGCTGCTCCTCACTCTGCCTTTTTGTGCCTTGAAACTTCTATGAAGTTCTAAGATATTTTAAATTATGTACATAAACAGTTTGAATTTAGACTATTTCTGCATTACTCCTAGATAAATAAGGTAGAACCTTCAATATCAATGAACACACTGGTCTCCTTAGAATCCCATGTGTATAATGGAAGAGGAAGTGCAGAGTTTTTTGGTATAATTAAGAAACAAAAAAAAGATTTAAGAGTGAAGTATTGGATATGAACATGTCCCCTTGTCGTAAGCTGTGAAGCGGTTGATCATATAAATGCGGGGATTAGACGAGCAAAGGCAGAATGGTTTTAATGGGTGATTTTAACTTCCATAGATTGAGAAATTGCTTAATATGAGAAGAGCAGTGAATTTTGAGAGTGTATTCAGGATAGTTTTCTGCAATGCTATTCCCCAGATTAAAAGAAAGGATGATCAAGTGAAATGTAATGATGAACGAAGAAGTCTTGGTGAACAATCCAACCATGAATAAACAGTTATCAACCAACAATCACATTATGTTCGAGTTCAATGTAATGTTTGAAAGGGTAAAACATGTAACAGTACCTAGGATCCTAGATATAAGTAAGACTAACTTCAGGGCAATACAGTGGAGCTTGTTTGAGGTAAGCTGGACCAATCTGTTTATGATTAAAATGACAGACAATTAGAGTCAGAGTCTTGGAGTGACACAACATGGAAGCAGACCCTTCCAACTAGCCTACATTGACAATGTTCCCAAATTAAACTAATCCCACTTGCTTGTATTTGGCCCATATCCCGCCAAACCTTTCCTTTTGATGTACTTATTCAAATGTCTTTTAAATATTTTACCTGCATCCACTACTTCCTCTGGCAGTTCATTCCACCCACTAACCACTCTCAGTGTAAAAAAAAATTGCCCCTCACATTTTTAAAAACTTTCTCCTCTCATCTTAAAAATATGCCCCTTAGTTTAGAATGCCCCCACCCTAGGGAAAAGACCCTTGATATTCAGCTTATCTATGCCTCTCATGATTGTATAAACCTCAATAAGGTCACCCCTCAACCTCCTATGCTCCATTTAGAAAGGTCCCAGCCTGTTCAGCCTATTTGAATAACTCAAACCCTCCATTCCTGGCACATTCTTGGTAAATCTTTTTTGAACCTGTCTAATTTAATAATATCCTCTTATAACTGGGCTACCAGAACTGCACACAATACTCCAGAAGAGGCCTCACCAATATCCTGTATAATCTCACCATGATGACCCAACTCCTATACTCAAAGGTCTGAGCAATGAAGGTAAGCATGCTAAATGTGTTCTTAACCACCCTGTCTACCTGTGACACAAATTTCAAACAATTGTGTACCTGAACCTCTAGGTCCTTCAGTTATACAATTAACAGTAGAACCTTAGGTAGTATTGTAGAAGTCCTGCCCTTGTTTGTTTTACCAAACTACAACACCTCGCATTTATTCAAATTAATCTGCTACTCCTCAGCCCATTGATCCAATTGATCAAGATCTCTTTGTAATCTTAGACAGCCTTCTTCACGGTCTGCTGTAACACCAATTTTAGTGTCATCCGCAAACTTACTAACCATGCCTCCTAATATTCTCATCCAAATCATTTATATAAATGGAAACAAAAGTGGACCCAAAACTGATGCCAGTGGAGCTCTCCTGCTAACAGGCTTCCAGTCTGAAAAACAACCCTCCACCACCATCCTCTGTCTTATCGGGAAGTGTTCAAAAATAACTTAATGTCAACAGAAGCATTTTATGCTCTGAGGTAAATGAGATCTTCTTGATGGAAGAAAAATGTCACCCACAGTCAACTGAAGAGGTAAGCAATGACGTACAACCAAAGGAAGAGGCAATTAGTAATGAAAAGAAAAGCATGGGGATTGATATCAAAATTACAACAGATAACAACAGCCTCAAAAAGAGAGGGAAAGAAAGTTTAAAAAAAAACAAATATTTTTACAATAATATTAAGAAAAATGAGATGATCTGGAACAATATGGATGCCTCAAAAACAGATAGCGGTGACGATACTAACATTAATAAAAAGTGGTAAACATTGAATAATTACTTCGTATCTTCATTTTGCAGCAGTGAGAAAGAAGAGCATGTTGGACATTGTATGGAAACTTGTGTTGGATCAGGGATGCCGATACATTGATATTAACAATTGCAAAATAATAGTAAAGAAGGAAATAATGACTGGATTCTTATAGGGGCCTGAGCAATATGGGCTATGGCAAGATTTGTTACAGAATCAGGCAAGAACCTAGTGTGGCCTATCTCACTGTATCTGTTATATATTTGCTGAGAGTGGTACAAGGCAGTAGTAAGAGTTACCAATAAAGGGGGAATTATAACTTGTTCAATGCTTTATTAATGGCCTGAATCACCTTATCAATATTTAGCTCCCCATCTTACCAAATGCAGGAAGCAAGCCAGACATTGTGATTTCTTGACATGGAGATCTGAATGGGTACTTGGTAACTTCAGCTCACAACTTGCTCCAAAGGACCCCCATTGTCACGAGCACCTGTTTCTCATGGCACGCTGCATGGGTGGGGGATACACACAGGCCATGCCCACGGACATTATCATCTGACATGTGCCAACCTCTGTGACTCCTTATGGCACAGTTACGATCCACATGTATCTACATTTGCTGCTGCTGCTGTGAGGGCATTGTAGGCTCAGGGACACTCACCCAACTCATGGACTGCACCAGGCTGCGTCTCTGTGCTCTTTGCTCACTGTCACAGTGAGCACACCTGGTTGCTTACAGCATTCCTGCCTTACTTTGCCCTTGAGCATTTTGACCCCCTCAGCCAGAGTACCAGCCTCGTATTACTGCTGTTTAGCACAGACTCAAAGGCAGGAAGATCGGTACAGTTGGTCTGAAACAATCAGTCAGCTGCTTGGGGTGGTCACTACAGAATCCTCTCCTCATAAGGGGTCAGGAACCAAATGTTAAGCCGCTTACCGCCTGTCTTAACTCTTTCAGCCCTGCTGTGAGCTGATTTCCTCCTGGAATAAGAGAGAAGCAGGTACTAAGGCAGATGAAAGTGACTGGCACAGCTATTACTTTTGGTGCAAGTGAGGAGGTGTCCTGAGTGAGTGAGCAGCACAGAGCTCATGCAGGTTATTGGAGTCGGTGTTTGGGATGGGTGACAGTGAGTGGGGAAGATGTTGTAAGCAATAATGACAGTGAAAGGGCATGAGCCTTGGTGGGAGGTGGGTGGAGGTGCAGTAGTAGAGATACACTGAGTATTAAGTATCGGTGAGAAGTCATTGGCATTTGTGCTGGCAAAGAAGAGAAGGTCATTGACTTTCTTCCTACAGTGCTGAGTTCTCCTGCAGGCAGCTGACCTAGGAGGCAACCTCAGATTACAATGGCATGGTCAAGTATCATGCCCTCAACTACTGGTCCTGGGGGAAGCACAAGTTCCATGTTGGCACCACCATGGCCAACAGGACCTCGAGGTCTCATGCCCACAAAGTGAGGTGCCAGATTCCCCCTGTCTTGGCCATATCCAGCATAAATCTCAGAAACTGTTGAGGGTAGGTACAGTTGTCCAGTTGCATCACAAGCTTTTAAATATGACGCTGGTGCAAGGGCTGTCAGACTTTCCACAGATATCTGGTGAGTGGCAAATTACTCTGGGAATGGCCTGTGATAAGATGAGGATGGAATTAGACCTGAGCATTGCCATAGGAGGTAGTTAATGAGGTACATATGGTGACAATTGTGCCAAAAAACTCAATGCA